ATTTTAATACGGTAAAAATCAACGAACACGTAACATGCGGTATGTACGCGGAATCGAGTTTGATAACCGGCCTAAATGTTAAGTGTACGTCAAACAATGAATAATACATCGCGGTGGGCGTTTAATCGCGATATTAAATTGTAATTAAGTATGGAACAAGCCGCGTTACGATGAATGAAAACCAATGTGATCGTATTTGTGCATTAGCAGAGTATTGACGAGAGTGACTGTGTAAAAAAAATTTTTTCACTGACTTGAACTTTTCATGCTTATTAATCTCTCGATTTATAATTCATGATCGTAGTTATGTGCGCTCGTTAAATTTCGCTATTTGCTTTTACAACACCGTGCGTATAGCATCGACATATCAGACGTAATTTCCGCTTTAATGAACTACCTCTATTATGAATTGAATTAAAGACACATTTGCGAGTGTATTGATCTTTTAACATTGTGATTTAAAAGAAACATCTCATTAAATAAAAAAGATATTAAAATTTAACGCTTGAGAACTGTATGTGGTGAAAGAGAAACAGGCTGTCAACTACAATGCTATTTTGTTCATTTTAAATGTCATCATAACTATGATACATAATTATGATATATATAAATAATAATATGATAATAATATAATGATCATAATTATGATACATATGAAATAATAATATTTTAATATTAGAATTTATATACTTTATTTTCATATACAATGAAATAAGTTTTTCTAAATCGGTTCGTCACATTGTCAGAAGGTTAATAAACCGCGCAAGAATTTTTCCTATGGAAGTATTTCGTGTAAGAGAAAAAGAATTATGAAAACAAAACGATGGAATCACACGCGCCGTCGATATATCATCAATCTGATACGCTGTGATGATGCAACAAATCAACCGTATATAAATTCACACATGCAGAGGTCAAGTCCGAACGGGCAAACGTGATATAAACGCTGATTCCCCGTTACTGCACGGTTCTTGCACGCGTAAATCTTGCGATTTATGATCATAGAAGAGCAACGTTCGGGAAAAAGATGGTCAAAGTGACTTGGCGAACACGCTGACGTCCACTCTCGCTACCGATATGGATACAGATCGCATTCTAACTTCTCCCTTCTGCAAAATTCCACAATCGGGAAATTAGATTTCCTCTTTATCTCCCTTTCGGCGTCAACTGTTCCAAAGAAGACTTCAAATTCATTCGTAGAAAAAAACCTTAACTGTGAGAAGGTGGAGAAATGAAAGGTGGACAGTCAAGGAAAAGATCTGTCAGTCAGTTATAAAAGTGTACATACTTTCGTCAGATATTTAAGATAGAAAAAGAGAAGTTTTGAACATTTTTGGATGATTAATTAATTTATTAATTAGAATTGAATTAAAATGATTTTAAAATATTGACAATATAAAGAATCGTCGCTGGAGCTTAAACTAATGATCAAATTAATATCTGCAAACTATTAAAAATCTAAAATACACTTTCTTTGACTGATCACATCTTTTTCAAGACCAGCTTCAGCCTAACTTGCCTGACCAAAACCACATAAATTACATTACGTAATATCATCACTTTATACTTCCTAAAATTGTAATTACGAAAAATTTTGAATATTTTTCTCATTGATATTAATGATATCATAATATTTCCTCTCTTACCCGAATCCAAGAATTTTCTAGACTCGAAAGAAATAAATTGAATTGAATTAATGCTTTCTCTGGAACTCGAGAAAATCTTTTGTCTCGATCGCCGCGCCGAGTCACCGACGTCAAGCGAAACTAACAAAAATCCTTTGTCTCTCGTTTCAGACGACGAGAACTCGTCGGTGCATGGTATCGTGACGGAAGAAGGACTGTTCGATGGTACTATCACCACAGCATCCGACGAGATCTACATCGAGCCAACCAGCAGATACGTTCCGCTCGTGTGCCATCGGCAAGATGGCGAGGATAAAGACACGACAGACTCCGTGCATCACCATACGATCGCGTATCGTTCTGTGGACGTGGAAGTACCGCGTCGCGACGGATATCCGTGCGCCAGCGAGCTTTTGCGAGAGAACACGTTAAACGAATTAAGGTAAACGCATTTTCAACTTCTGTTTTGCCATTGAGTCCATTATTTCGGCAGAATGCCACGCGGCAAAATGGAACGGCAGGAATCTCCGGTAGCGGTGAAGACTCTAAAACGCGGGCTAATTAAATAAAGTATAGGTCACTTTGTTATTCGTCCGCCATATTTCTCTTTGTTCCTTGCGAAATGAAATATAACGTTGAACACGAGAGATTTCGCGAAAATTGTAACGAAATACTAAGAAATATTTCAAACGCAGTGCGAAATTGTTGAAAGATTGTTTACGGTGTTACGCTTCTTCTTGGTGGTTCCATTGACACGGTCTGAATGACGTAATAAATGAAATGAATTTTAATCACGGCCTTTTGAAATTCTACTAACTTAATTTGCAAAATATTTGAGAGGAACGTATAGTACTATATAGCGGCATACTAGTGGAAAACAATGAAGAAATTTTAGCCCCCCTTGTTGCCTCGTTTCGTGTCACCGTCGTTTACTGTACGACGATTTAAAAATTCCATTCTCATGCGTCGTCACGAGTAGCTATTTTTTGCAAATATAAATAAAGAAACATTTCAAAAG